CTTGATTTGACACTTTCCCCTTCTTCTGTTTGGAGGATTAGAAAGAAAGAACGTTTTGTTTATGCAAAACAGATAAAGAAACCAAATTTAACACCAAAACACATTTCGGACCGATTAAAGTTTTGTTGTAAACAGTACAACAACAAACGCTTTTTGCACAGGTGGACCAACAACACGATAATCTCTGATGAGAGTAGGTTTTGTTTATACTCAGATGGACACTATGTGTGGAGAAGAAAAGGAGAATTAAATGAAAACGACTTCGTAGTTACACCAAAATACAATGCCGGTGTAAGGGTTTGGGGAGCAATTGGTCACAACTTCAAATCTAAACTCATGTTTTTGAGTGGAAGTGTTAAGTCGGAAACTTATGTTGAAATGCTCAAAGAATCAAAAGTGTTCGAAGAAGCAAAAAATGTTTTTAAACATGGAATGACCTTTCAGCAAGATGGAGCAAGACCACACACTTCCAGATTTACAACAAACTGGTTTTCAACAATTGATTCTTTATCACGAGTAAATCTTTTGAAATCTTGGCCAGCGAACAGCCCCGATTTAAGTCCTATTGAACATTTATGGCATTACTTGGATACCCTTGTTCGAAAAGAAAAAACATATTTAAGGATATAAATGAACTCAAATCAGCACTGTCAACTGCTTGGGATTCAATTTCAATTGAAACTGTAAACAACTATATTAACTCTATGCCAAGAAGATTTAAACTGTGCATTGAAAATGATGGAAATTTTATTGGTAATTTACTATGATAAGTTTATTTTTTTATTATTTAATCAAATTAGAACTTGAATTTTTATTTGACAGTGTATTGAGAAAAATACCAAAAAGTTGTTTTTTATTCTTATTTTTTTAATTCGTCGACACTCACGTTTAGTATTATTTAAACACCAATTTGGTTGTTACACTTTATTATGGGTTTATTCTTGATAAAAATATGCCGTCGATGTCTTGTTTGTAGTGCGAAGTATCGTGTTATATGCAAATCAAATAACGGGATCGGGTTTTTTGGAAAAGGCTGGCTAATATTCCAACATTTTCCCGAAATTGTACGAAAATAATTGAACGGGATTGGTATTTTTTTCAAAATAAAGTCGGTACTTTCGATTTTTTGTTTTTATTTTTTTTAGGAAAAACAAAATAAAAACGGGACTTTAGGAAGTTCTAAAATATGACAGTACCGACTTTGAAAACAGTTTATATTGATAA